AATATATATATATATATATATATATATATATATATATATATATATATATATATATATATATATATATATATATATATATATATATATATATATATATATATATATATATATATATATATATATATATATATATATATTGGGTTATGAAACCCCCAAGGGTAGGGAAGAAGGAGAACATATGTAGAGATGAAGGAGATGATGAATAGTGTTGGTGGTGTAGCCTCCTTTTCCCCCCTCCCCCTCTTCCAATAAGAGGGATATAAATAATGGAGAGTTAGGGTTAGGGTTCCGAACTAATGGATCGGCCCAACATACTGGGGCGCCCTAAATAATAAATATGCGACTAATGGGCCTGCCCAACAGACTGGGCCGCCCATAAATAAATAATTAATAAACGATTAATGGGCCGGTCCAACAGACTGGACCGCCCCAATCAGTATTATACAAAGACCGGATACCCCCTGTCCAGGGTATCCATCATGAGTCCCCCACTTCCCAAGCCGAGAGGAACTCGAGGTGAAGTGGAAGTAGAACAATAATCCGCCACGGAAGGACACCGTCTTCCTCGTTGTACAGAGTGCACCTCCAACTCGCTGTCCTGAGCACAGTGAAGTAAGGCAAGCGACGCCATCAGTCTGAAAGTGTAATGCCAACTCGCTATCCAGAGTAGGGCGAGGTGAAAGAATCTGCACCCATGGATACGAGGTGCATTGCCGACTTGTGGTCCATAGCGGCAAAGGGAACGAAATCGTAGCACTAAGCACGAAGTGCGCTACCGACTCGCTGTCTGGAGTGGTACAGTGAAAACAATTGAAGCAATGAGCATGAAGTGCGCCGCTGACTCGCTGTCCGGAGCGGAAAGGTAAAAGAAATCGCTCCAATCAGCATGGAGTGCACTGCCGACTCGCTGTCCGGAGCGGCAAAGTGGAAAAGTTTGTGCCAATCTGCTCATTGACTTGAAATGATCTGCTCTTGTACAAAGGGCATCGTCTGTTTGTTGTTCAGTGCACAACGATCACAATAAGAGTGGGTGATGGAGTCGTCATCTACAGTCCATCTGTCGTCTTCAAGGATCCTCTCCAAACCCCATCAATGTGTGGCTCACTCTATGAGGGATGCCTCATTAAAAACTTGCCGAGGAAAAAACCCATGAGGATGCATCTCGTCCCACAAGGTGACTCAAGAGACATTAAAAAAGGGTGTGAGGTCTTCGAGTAAAGGAAGTGTGTGGATCTTAGAAGAGGTGATCCTCAAGTCCCCTGGACTCGTTGTCCGGAGTCGAGGGCTGTTCATCATAGTGTATTGCTAATGAGCGCATGCCAACATGAAGAGATGCAGTGTGATGTTAGATCGAGATGTTGGTCGGCCAAGCTCTCACGGTCTGTGATGTAACAATCACAAGCCGAGTTCCCGGAGTCCCCCACTCCCTAAGCCGAGGAAGAATTCCGAGGTGAAAGGGAGTAGTGCCCATGCTCGGCTCTGGTGGGAGTCTTTAGTCCCCTCGCTCTGTGGCGACTTCCCTTCATATAATGATTTACCTGAAAAAATCTCAAACAAATGCAAATAATTCGATGGGCTTGGCCGATCAGCCTAGCCCGCCCATTCTTAGAGTAATTACGACTATTCCCTAGAAAGTGGGCTAGGGGGTGTGCCTTGGGACGACATTGAAGAGTGCCTCAAGAAGAGGGCTTAGGATGCCTCTTGAGATGAGGGCTTATATACCTTGCTTGCGAGGCGGTCAAGGCCAACCTCGGGAAAGCAGTTGAAGTTGTTTGGGAGATAATTGTAGTGCCTCGTGAGGTGGCCGAGGCCGACCTCGGGAGAGGGCTTTTGGTTTCCTCGAGAGACGAGGGCTTAAATGCTTGCGAGGTGACCGGGGCCGACCTCGGGAAGAGAGTCAAGTGCCTCGTGAGGTGGATCGGACCAACCTCGGGAGAGGACTTTGGGATGCCTCGAGGGACGAGGACTTAAGTGCCTCGCGAGGTGGATGGGGCCGACCTCGGGGAAGGACTTTATGGTGCCTCGGGAGACGAGGGCTTTAGGTGTTTTGCGAGGTGGCTGAGGCCGACCTCGGGAAAAATATGTTAATATAAGTGCCCTTCACTAGAGGGGGGGGGGTGAATAGTGAGGCATGAGAATGTTTATAAATTTTCGCAGAATAAAAATCGCAGGGATAAAGTAAAGAGCGGAATAAAAAGGAGTAAAGGGAGCACACCAAGATTTCATCACCAGAACTTTCTGAATCCCATGCCATGTATGCTTGTTCCTTCTTTTTCTTTTCCTTGCGGTTTGGGCAATATGGCTTTATGTGTCCAAGTTCTCCACAACCAAAGCACATTGGAACGGGTTCTCCCTTTCTTTTACAATCTCGGGACCCAAGTTCTTCCTTCAATAACTCTTGGAACTTCTCGAGCAAGTTATAAGAAGGATTATGGTCATCGCTATCGAAGTCACTTACCTCTACCCTTTTTGAGGATGAGGCTTTGAGAGTGAGACCGGGACTCTTGTCAAGAGAAGGTTTAAGAATAGTGGATTCATAAGTTTTAAGATTACCTCGAAGACCATCGATGGTGACATTGGTGTTACCAATCGACTCATATATGGCATCGGCTTTTGAACGCCATTCCGGTGCTAGGCTCCGAAGGATTTTTCGAACAAGATCTTTGTTCGAGTATTTTTTACCAAGGACATGGAGATCATTGATGATCTTTAAAAATCGGTCGAACATTTGATCAACGCTTTCAATTTCCTTCATTTTAAACAACTCATATTCATGGGTTAGAAAATCAATTTTAGCTTCACGAACTTGAGGCGTACCTTCGTATGTCACTTCAAGCTTATCCCACATTTCTTTTGCGGTGGAGCAAGAAGAAATTTTCCGGTAGTCATCCGGGTTAATTGCACAAAAAATCATGTGTTTAGNNNCGAACATTTGATCAACGCTTTCAATTTCCTTCATTTTAAACAACTCATATTCATGGGTTAGAAAATCAATTTTAGCTTCACGAACTTGAGGCGTACCTTCGTATGTCACTTCAAGCTTATCCCACATTTCTTTTGCGGTGGAGCAAGAAGAAATTTTCCGGTAGTCATCCGGGTTAATTGCACAAAAAATCATGTGTTTAGATTTTTCAAAAGCTTCTACCTTCTTGATGTCTTCAACATCATATTCTTCCTCCGTCTTTGGGATGGTGGTTTCACCAACCTTTTTCATTGGCATCGTCTCACCGTTTTTGATGATTAACCACAGTTGGAAGTTGATTGATCGAATGTAAATCCTCATTCTTCCTTCCAATAGGTGTAGTTTGTTCCACCGAACAGTGGAGGTCTAACGGTGGAGTGTCCTTTGCTTAATCCTGCATATGACATTCTCAACAAGAAAATATAGATCGTTCTCTCAACCGGATAAGGCTTGTAGAGAGTTAGGCTCCGATACCAATTGTTAGAATAAGTGCCCTTCACTAGAGGGGAGGGGGTGAATAGTGAGGCACGAGAATGTTTATAAATTTTCGCGGAATAAAAATCGCAGGGATAAAGTAAAGAGCGGAATAAAAAGGAGTAAAGGGAGCACACCAAGATTTATACTGGTTCACCACAAGAACAACTCAAACTTCACAAATTGGCTCTTGAAAGCTATGTAAAATAATGTTGTTTGGATGCAATGATAATATGAATAAAGTGAAGTGAATTGATGTGTAAAGCAGACCCAAACACCCCTTTTTATAGTGCCAAAATAGGCTCTAACGGACCAATACATTAAAGGGGTGATTGGCTTGATTTATGGGATTGAATAAATTTGGGATCTGCAAGATATTGGCTTCCCATCGATGTTTGGACTCACCCATCGCTGGTAAGCCAATTTTCCTTCAGTTTTGAAGCCATTGGTCACCTACCCATCGATGGGTACAACCTTCCCATCGCTGGGTGGGAGGTTGACTTCCAAACAATGAAAGAATCAACCTTAAATGACTTCCAACGGTCATGCCTTCCCAGCCATGGGTATGCCCTCCCATCGCTGGGTTCCCATCACTGGGTTCCCATCGATGGGTAAAGGTTCCCATCGCTGGGTAAGGGCATTCTGCCTTGTGAAAATGTTGGACCAAGGCTTAAACAACGATGGGTAGAACTTCCCATCGCTGTTTGGCATGGTTCTGGAAATCAGTTGGGCTGAAGGCCTAATATCTCCCATCGCTGGGTGGAATGATTCTGGAATCCCGGGATCACTTACCCATGGATGGGTGATATCTACAATCGCTGGGTAGATGGCTAGCCCAGAACCATGGCCTAGCTGACCGGCACTAAAACCCGACCGAAAAATGCAAAGTTCTCCAAAGTAAAAACTAAGTTTATAAAACACTTATTTAATGTATTGAGATGTCAAAACAAGCTTTTTAAGTTGAAAACCACGTCGTTAAGGTAAAAACCACGGTTGACCAAGTCAAAACCGTACACGGGTGGTTTTTACCAAAAGACAAAACCGAAAGGTGGTTTTCATGATGTTTTGATTGGAGAACCATTTAAATGCATTCAAAAACAATTCTCACACAAAAAGACTCGAAAACCACTTCATTTAAGTAAAAACCACGACTAGCCAAGTTTATGTCGTTTCGCATGGTTTTTATCAAACGACAAAAAATGAAAGGTGGTTTTTGAAGTGTTTTTGATGGAAAACTATTTAAATGTGCCCAGAAGTAAAAACCAATCATAAAAAATTAAAAACCACTTGGTTGGTTTGGACGCGTAAAACCAACGCCGGTTTCTGAAAGCCGAACGCAACTTTCCGAAAGCCGAACCCCGGATTGCTTGGTTTTTGGTTTGGGCGAACACCAAGTGTTTTTAATATGTTTGAGCATGTTTGAAAATATTTTTGATGATATGTAAAATGCAATAAAAAATGTTTTAGCCTAAAGAGCCAAAGTGCAAAGCTTGGGTCGGTCTTGATCACATTGTGACCGACTCAACGACGTTAAAGACTACGGTCTTCGTTCTTGGTCTCTTTTAGCTCTTGTTCTCTTGATTTCTTCTTATATTTATTTCTCGCCTTGTATATTCAACAACTTGTCTCGTTCACGACGATTTGGCATTATCAAAACCAGTTGAAACACGGGCTTATCACGTTTTTCGTACTAAAGCCGTGTTTGTTCTTATGACAAGTTTTGATAATGCCAAACCGCCGTGATCAATTCGAACATTGAATATACAAGGCGAAGAACGAAGATAAGAACAAGAGCTATACGAAGACCAAGAACAAAGACCTTAGTCATAGTATTAAGTCGGTCTTTATTGTGATCAAGACTGACCCAATCTTTACACCTTGGCTCTTTAGGCTAAAACCTCTCATTGCATTTCTTAAATCATAAAAATGTTTTTCAAACTTTTTTAAGTCATTAAAAACACTTGGTGGTCGCCCAAACCAAAAACCAAGCCATCCAGTGTTCGGCTTTCAGAAACCAGCGTTCGGCTTTTGGTTATCGGCTTTGGTTTTTGGCATCCGAACCAACCAAGTGGTTTTCAGGATTTTATGATCTGTTTTCACTCTTTGGCATGTTTAAACGTTTCTTAAACAAAAACACTTTGAAAACCATCTTTCGCTTTTAGTCGTTTGACAAAAACCACACAAAACGGCTTAAACTTGGCTAGCCGTGGTTTTACTCAAATGACGTGGTTTTTAAAGTAACTCACTTGATTTCTTAGACAAATACATCAAATAAGTGTTTCAAACACTTGGTTTTTATTTCGGAGAACTTTAGATTTTTCGGTCGGTTTTTGCATTGGTTGGCTAGGCCGAGGTTAAGGCAAAGACCATGGGGTTTTGGCTAACCACCCACCCAGCGATGCGAAAATCTTCCCATCGATGGGTAAGCGGTTTCTAAGCCAAACCAATTTCCAGAACCATGCCAAATAGCGATGGGGAGTTCTACCCATCGCTGTTAAAGCCTTGGCGCAACATTATCACAAGGCAGAACAACCTTGCCCAACGATGGGAAACCTATCCCATCAATGGGAGCCCAGCGATGGTAAGGTTAAACCATCGATGGGAAGGCATGGCCGTTGGTAGTCATTTAAGGTTGATCCTTTCCTTGTTTGGAAGTCAACCTCCCACCCAGCGATGGGAAACTTGTACCCATCGATGGGTAGGCAACCGTTGGCTTCAAAACTGAAGGAAATTTGGCTTACCAGCGATGGATAAGTCCCAAACATCGATGGGAAGCCAATATCCTGCAGATCCCAAATCTTTTCAATCCCATAAATCAAGCCAATCACCTCTTTAATGCATTGGTCCGTTGGAGCCTATTTTTGCACTATAAAAAGGGGTGTTTGGGTCTGCTTTTCTCACCAATTCACTTCACAACATTCATACTTTCATTGCATTCAAATATCATCTCTTCCATAGCTTTCTAGAGCCATTTTGTGTGAAAGTTGAGTTGTTCTTGAGCGTACTTAGTTTACTCATAATCTACTCTATAAGAGAGCCTCGTTCTTGAGTGTATTCGTGTTCTTAGACACTTTGAGAGAAAGTATTTCTCTCGGTAGATTCAAAGGAGGGGTTGTTTCCTTTGAAGGACTCGTTGAGGTTCGTGTAACTCGAACTCTCAAGTTGTAACGGTTTGTTAAGCACCCACAAGCTTAACGAGATAGTAGTGTAGCTCGAGAGAGTCTCTCGGGAGGCTGGATTAGCCACAAGTTGTGGTGAACCAGGGTAAAATTTGGTGTGCCTCTTACTCTTCTCTTTACTTCTCTTTTAATTTTTTAATTCCTGCGATTTCTACGATCAAATGATATTCACCCCCCCTCTAGCGTTGGTCTATTATTCTAACAATTGGTATCAGAGCCAAGGTCACGAGTTCAATTCCCAGCGGGAGCAATTGCTAAGCGAGAGATTGTTGGTCATGTGTGCAGCAATTGTCCCGTGGCGGAGGATATGTGGGCCAAGTCACAATCGAATTTCGTGGGCGCTTGTGTGCTGAATGCACTATAAGACTAGGGTATGCGCCTCTTCTAACACCAATTGGTTTTAGAAGAGTTGGTAGCGCCTCTTCTACTACGACCTTGACAATCACCTCAAGGAGTCGGGTTTGTGGCCCTTTGTCTCCAGGAGTCGCACCGCCTTCAATCCCGCCTATGTCCGGGCCTTCTACTCCAATCTCCGCCGAGACGGGGACACCATCCGGAGCAGCATCAATCTCAATGACATAGAGTTCGACTTGGCTACTTTTGCTCGGGTTGCAGGCTGCCCACCCGCGGTGACGACATCGCGACATATGGTGGCGATGATTGGATTCTCAACAACGAGGCGGTGGTCATCCGAGAGCTTGGAATCACCAACCTCATCTATCACAGCGGCGCACCAACCATCCCTTCAGCCCCGCCGGAAAAGCATCTTCTGCTCTACATCCTCACCTGGATTCTTCGTCCCCGGGACGGTAGCCACACTTGTCTCTTCAACGAGGATCTCAAGGCCGTTCATGCCATCACCCATGGCGCCTCGATCAATTGGGCAAAATACGTCATGATTCACATGGCGGATTGCGCCTCAATCACCACTGAGCGGAGCTTTCCATACGCATTCCTCGTCATGGATCTCATTGTTGCCTCCGACATCCACATCGCCGGCCCGGACACGAAGATGACGAAGCTTTGGATCATCCAAAACAGCACCTTCCGAAAGAAGTCCGGTGACAGAACCGGCGTAGGACCCAGTCGGGCTCCGGCCCCCGCTCCCGCCAAGGCCTCCTTACAGTCCATAGCCGATACCCTGAATCGGCTAACCATCACCGTGGATGGCATGGGCCAGTACCTAGAGAGGATGGACTGGACGCTGCAACGCCAACACCACGACATGACGGCGTTCTTCCACGGCATCAACTACGTCCCTCCGCCCTTTGACACCACCTTCCTTGGCCAAAACTATGAAGGCGAGGACGAGGAGGATAACTCCTATGCTCCGTCCTCCTCCCCCGACGAAGCCGACTTTAAGGACGCGGTCGACGGGGATCCCATGGACGTTGAGGACGACAAAGAAGACGATGACGCCGAGAACGAGGACGCCGATGCTTAGACTCTTCCTTCTCTCCTTTCCCTACTTTAATTGAATTTCTTTTATCTATTTCAATTCCGTTGTATTCCGCATTTTCTCCTTTTTTTAATGAAGCACTTACCTCTCCATTTCGTTCATGAGCCATAAGACATAAGGTGGCAGTTTCGTCACCAGAACTTTCCGAATCCCATGCCATGTATGCTCGTTCCTTCTTTTTCTTTTCCTTGCGGTTTGGGCAATATGGCTTTATGTGTCCAAGTTCTCCACAACCAAAGCACATTGGAACGGGTTCTCCCTTTCTTTTACAATCTCGGGACCCAAGTTCTTCCTTCAAAAACTCTTCGAACTTCTCGAGCAAGTTATAAGAAGGATTATGGTCATCGCTATCGAAGTCACTTACCTCTACCCTTTTTGAGGATGAGGCTTTGAGAGTGAGACCGGGACTCTTGTCAAGAGAAGGTTTAGGAATAATGGATTCATAAGTTTTAAGATTACCTCGAAGACCATCGATGGTGACATTGGTGTTACCAATCGACTCATATATGGCATCGGCTTTTGAACGCCATTCCGGTGCTAGGCTCCGAAGGATTTTTCGAACAAGATCTTTGTTCGAGTATGTTTTACCAAGGACATGGAGATCGTTGATGATCTTTAAAAATCAGGCGAACATTTGATCAACGCTTTCAATTTCCTTCATTTTAAACAACTCATATTCATGGGTTAGAAAATCAATTTTAGCTTCACGAACTTGAGGCGTACCTTCGTATGTCACTTCAAGCTTATCCCACATTTCTTTTGCAGTGGAGCAAGAAGAAATTTTCCGGTAGTCATCCGGGTTAATTGCACAAAAAATCATGTGTTTAGATTTTTCAAAAGCTTCTAACTTCTTGATGTCTTCAACATCATATTCTTCCTCCGTCTTTGGGATGGTGGTTTCACCAACCTTTTTCATTGGCATCGTCTCACCGTTTTTGATGATTAACCACAGTTGGAAGTTGATTGATCGAATGTAAATCCTCATTCTTTCCTTCCAATAGGTGTAGTTTGTTCCATCGAACAGTGGAGGTCTAACGGTGGAGTGTCCTTTGCTTAATCCTGCATATGACATTCTCAACAAGAAAATATAGATCGTTCTCTCAACCGGATAAGGCTTGTAGAGAGTTAGGCTCCGATACCAATTGTTAGAATAAGTGCCCTTCACTAGAGGGGGGGGGTGAATAGTGAGGCACGAGAATGTTTATAAATTTTCGCGGAATAAAAATCGCAGGGATAAAGTAAAGAGCGGAATAAAAAGGAGTAAAGGGAGCACACCAAGATTTATACTGGTTCACCACAAGAACAACTCAAACTTCACAAATTGGCTCTTGAAAGCTATGTAAAATAATGTTGTTTGGATGCATTGATAATATGAATAAAGTGAAGTGAATTGATGTGTAAAGCAGACCCAAACACCCCTTTTATAGTGCCAAAATAGGCTCTAACGGACCAATACATTAAAGGGGTGATTGGCTTGATTTATGGGATTGAATAAATTTGGGATCTGCAAGATATTGGCTTCCCATCGATGTTTGGACTCACCCATCGCTGGTAAGCCAATTTTCCTTCAGTTTTAAAGCCAACGGTCACCTACCCATCGATGGGTACAACCTTCCCATCGCTGGGTGGGAGGTTGACTTCCAAACAATGAAAGAATCAACCTTAAATGACTTCCAACGGTCATGCCTTTCCAGCCATGGGTATGCCCTCCCATCGCTGGGTTCCCATCGATGGGTAAAGGTTCCCATTGCTGGGTAAGGGCATTCTGCCTTGTGAAAATGTTGGACCAAGGCTTAAACAACGATGGGTAGAACTTCCCATCGCTGTTTGGCATGGTTCTGGAAATCAGTTGGGCTGAAGGCCTAATATCTCCCATCGCTGGGTGGAATGATTCTGGAATCCCGGGATCACTTACCCCTGGATGGGTGATATCTACCATCGCTGGGTAGATGGCTAGCCCAGAACCATGACCTAGCTGACCGGCACTAAAACCCGACCGAAAAATGCAAAGTTCTCCAAAGTAAAAACTAAGTTTATAAAACACTTATTTAATGTATTGAGATGTCAAAACAAGCTTTTTAAGTGGAAAACCACGTCGTTAAGGTAAAAACCACGGTTGACCAAGTCAAAACCGTACACGGGTGGTTTTTACCAAAAGACAAAACCGAAAGGTGGTTTTCATGATGTTTTGATTGGAGAACCATTTAAATACATTCAAAAACAATTCCCACACAAAAAGACTCGAAAACCACTTCATTTAAGTAAAAACCACGGCTAGCCAAGTTCATGTCGTTTCGCATGGTTTTTATCAAACGACAAAAAACGAAAGGTGGTTTTTGAAGTGTTTTTGATGGAAAACTATTTAAATGTGCCCAGAAGTAAAAACTAACCATAAAAATTTGAAAACCACTTGGCTGGTTCGGACGCGAAAAATCAACGCCGATAACCGAATGCCGAACGCCGGTTTCTGAATGCCGAACGCCGGTTTCCGAAAGCCGAACCCCGGATGGCTTGGTTTTTGGTTTGGGCGAACACCAAGTGTTTTTAATATGTTTGAGAATGTTTGAAAATAATTTTGATGATATGTAAAATGCAATAAAAAATGTTTTAGCCTAAAGAGCCAAAGTGCAAAGCTTGGGTCGGTCTTGATCACATTGTGACCGACTCAACGACGCTAAAGACTACGGTCTTCGTTCTTGGTCTCTTTTAGCTCTTGTTCTCTTGATTTCTTCTTATATTTATTTCTCGCCTTGTATATTCAACAACTTGTTTGGCATTATCAAAACCTGTCATAAAAACGAACACGGCTTTTGTACGAAAAAGCAATAAACCCGTGTTTCAACCATTTCCCCCTTTTTGATAATGGCAAACAAGACGGGGTTATGCATAGGAGGATTGTTTTGAGATTTTGAAAATATTGAGACTTTTGAGAGATGTTTCCCCTTAACAAATGCAACAAGCGATAAACCCGTGTTTATGGTTGCCTTGGGAGACAAGGGCTTAAGTAACTCGCGAGGTGGAGTGGCTCGTGAGGTGGATAGGACCGACCTCGGGAGAGGGCTTTTGGTTTCCTTGGGAGACAGGGGCTTAAGTAACTCGCGAGGTGGCTGAGGCCGACCTTGGGAAAAGGGTGAAATAATGTGTCATCCGTGAGCTCTGCTAGGCGGGCTCGGTTGCAAATGTCATGTGGATTTCCGCTTTGTACCTAAAAGACAAAATATGAAAAATTCCTTCGTTGTTGTTGCCTTTTTTTGGAGCGGCGTGGCGCCGATGACGCGTGGTAGCGTAGAAGTGCGATCTCAGCAGATCTAATATTTGTCCTAAGCAGGACTGCAAGTTTTTTGTCCTAAGTAGGACCTTACGATACCCTCCGGAGGGAATTTGCTCGCGGAATGACGAGGACCGTGTGAGGCCGTATCGTGGCGTGGAAGTCCAATGTTGCGCAGCTGCATAAAGTCGCATGGAAGCGAACATGAAATCGCGTGGAAGCGATATTGTTTTCTATGAACTTTCTTTTTCTTTTCTTTTTTTGACGAAATATCCAAGTCGTAGAAGCAATCGTGGCGCAAATCTGAGTAGCAATCATTTATATAAGGAGCAAGTGTATATTTGAGCTAAATCATGAAGGCGGGTCGCAGCCCAGTGAGATCAAGAGTGATGGAGATCATCGTACTCGAATATCAGAACATGTACGCTGTCGTACGGAGAGAGAGCCAAAATAAACTTCACAAGGCCCCTCAAGTTATTTTGAATCAGAACAGGCACCCGGCCAAACATAGTACACTCGGAATCAGCAAATTCGGTCGGCCAAGATCACCATAGCCGAACAGGATCTTACAACAGTGTCGTATGAACTCTGCTCGTCATGATCTTGCACTCGGACTCGGTCACCCTCCCATGCTCGGATTGAGCTCCACTAGAAATTATGAGCTCGGCCTCCGGTGTTGTCACGCACTCGGCCGTATGAGATTTTGACTCAGATGCATAAGAGGGAGGGTGAAAAACAGAGAATCTTCTCAGAACCCGGGCGAAGAAGCCAAATCAGTGATGATGGACGTCGGGCATTTTTATTTACCTTTGTATAAATTCCAATAGAAATGCAACAAATTGTACAGAACACGAATTGACCATAATTCCCCTATCACCGTTCCAAACTCTGAATTTAATCCCTTTTTGTCTAGGTGAGCACAATAATAATATCATTGGACGAATTTCTCTCATCTATGGACCATCAATTTGTATGTTAAATCAGCCTTCTCTATATAATCCTTTTTTAATACGGATTATCACTATAAAGTGGGGCACCCACATGTTTTAAAGTTGGAAAAACATGACACTAACCTCTTTATCACGAAGCACGGTGTAATAGCAATAAGAAGGGTTAATAATGGGTAAGGCCCACTTGCTTGACTTTTCTTCTTTACAAGCTGGAAATGCATCCATGTCCTTGTCGGCGGCTCGGCACTTCTGCGGTAACAACGGTTGGTGGTGGGCTGTCGACTCATGGAGCGGATGTTGTACCCGAGACCCGGAAATGGATGATGGAAGGAAATGGATGATGGAATTGAAGGGGTGAAATATGGAGTGTGGGAAAGAGTTATTTTTTTTGGTATTTTGATTTATGAAGATATAATAGAATGGGGTTTAGAAAAAGAAAATGGTGAGGAATGAAATGGGCAGAAATAAAGTGAAGGGATAAACCAAGTTGGTGTTAAGAGATATGACACACTCTTATCTTAACTTGGGGCTTTTTATCTTCTTTTACACATTAATAATCACTACTAATGTATAAAATTAGACTCCTAACACGCACTCAAAAGTAGCCAACTTTAGAGATATTTCATTAGGAAATTTGGTTAAAATAGCATCACACTATTTTAAAGGAATTACTCAAAAGAGTAAACAAAGTTTTTAATTCAATAATCTGGTCCTGTTACAATGGCCTCATGGCTGAAGTATTTATACAACAACAAATAAGGAAAAATACAAGAAAAAGGAAGGAAGAATACAACAAGGAAGTTTCCTACTTCTTTCCTACAAATCAATGTTTAATGCCCATCCATGTGAGTTGATTTTCCATGATGCTTCTCCTGATTTTGAGCTGATCTTCTTTGGGTTTATTTGGGCAGATATTTCATGCCTTTATGGAAGAAAACAAAGGGAAATCAAGCTTTTGACAATTGTGAATAAAATGCCAAAACAGCACTATTCATTCAATGACTTTGTTTGTGATTTTTGTTCCTTTGTGTCAAAATTGATCATGCTTTTGTTTTATGAAAGAAAAGGCTTTATTCTTTGTTGAAAATCAGGGAATAACTTCAGCCTAATACCCAAGCTTAGAAAAGGCAAACAGGAATTGAATAGCTTTGAGTTTCAAGGTTCAGGGATGTAGAATAATCGATTACTATCTCTGGATAATCGATTCACAAGATTTGGTTTCAATCCAAAAATGTTCAGAGAAACCAAATAGTCGATTGACATTCAAAGACAATCGATTATCAAGGGCTTGCTCAAAGCTGGGTATTTTTCCAGAGAGTAGAGATAATCGATTCTTACTTTTAAGATAATCGATTATGTCAGGTTGCTGGTTTTGCGAAGAAGAATCAGAGAGCTATAATAGTCGATTATCAATTATGTATAATCGATTATTCAGGGCTTTAGAATCAAGGTTGCAAGAGAAAGTGGGAAAGGCATAATTTGGGTAAAAAGGATTTGAAAAGAAACAAAGGTTTTAAAAGATAATAAGAA